GGAGGGGAAGGGAGCTGTGACCCCAAATCCACTTTTGTCCCCATGGGCGCATTCGTCCCCATGGGTCCCTGCTGACGGTGCCCCACCGGAGCATTTGGGGTGCGGGGCACGCCCGCTCGCTGGACGCGGGGGGGTCCCTGCGTTATGGGCGGCGAGCTCAGCCCCAGCTCGGCCCCAGTTCAGCCCCAACTCGGCCCCAACGTGGCCCCAGTTTGGCCCCGCGGCTCTTGGCCGGGCCGGGGCTGTGCGCTGCCAGGACGCGCCGTCCCCTCCCCGCAGAGGGAGAACACGGGAACGCGGGCGGTGCCCGGCGGGGCCACGGCGGCACCCGCACCGCTCCGACCTGCGGGGGCGAAAGGGCTCCGATCCAAGGATGAGGGGTGCGGGCTCAGGGGCGTTCAGAACCCTGGGGTGCGGGGGTTTTGGGGTGCAGAGCGTTCACATTCGCGGGGTGCAGTGTGTGGGAGTTTGGGGGAGCTTCCACCCGTGTGTGAGAGATTTAGGGGTGCTCAGATCCTTGGGGTGAAAGGTTTAGGGGTGCAGGGTGCTCACATCCACGGGGTGCAGGATTGAGGCTTGTAGCCACGGGTGCGGGGTTTAGGGCTGCAGGATTTCGGGGTGCCGTGTTTAGGGGTGCGGGACTTAGAGGCGTAGAATAGGGGTGCGGGGTTTAGAGGTGCGAGATTTCGGGGTGCGGAGCTTGGGGGCGATGACACTGTAGGAGCGCAGGGACACAGCTGGCCGGGCTCCGTGTGCGGGGTGGGGGCACGACGCGGTGCAGGACCCGGCGATGGGGGGGTGGGGGTGCAGCAGAGGGTCGCCGCGTCCCCTCGCAGCCCCTCCCCGACCCCCGCAGCCGGGGTTATGGCTGCAGCCGCCGTCTGCGGCCGCGCATGTGAGCGGCGCTCCCCGTTCCTCTCCTCCTTCTCCTCCTCCTTCCCCCCCCCCCCGCACCCCTCTCCGCACAGCTCAGCGTCACGTGGCGGCCGCATGTGAGCGCTGCTCCATTTTTAGCCGCCCCGCGCGCCCCGCCGCGCTGCAGAGCCATGTGCGGGCGGGTGCGGGTGCACGTGGGGCTGCAGCAGCGCTGCGCAGAGCTGGGGGGGGG